TATGGAATCGAGCATGAGTACGAGGACGAAAGTGCGGAATCGGAGCCCGACGCGCGCTAGCGCGGAGGGCTCCGATTCTAGCACTTGAGTCCGAGTACGAATGCTTTGATACCATTTCTGACATGCATTGCACGAACTACTTCGTACTACTAGTACTACTACATGTAGTACTTCACACATACCTAGTACCTACTCAAGGCACGCACACTAGACCAGACAAGGAACACAACTACCGGTAGTCGCCAGTTTAGTACTTCAGACATGTTACATAATGACTAATGTACACAGTCACAACACAGAGATAAAACAAGGGCGGTCTAGTCAGCTAAAAACCAGGTCAGTTCAGCTTCTCTTCTTCGCAGTGACTACAGCCTACAGCCTACAGGTGCAGGTGAACATTGCAGTTTGCAAAAAAAAAAGCGGCCTCTGATGGCTGAATCGGAGCACGCCTAGGCGTGCTCCGATTCAATCGGAGCACGCCTGGGCGTGCTCCGATTGGAAAATCGGAGACCTGCAAGCGCTCACAGGTCTTCAGTGGCTGATTCAAAGCACGGCAAGTCGCGCTAGGATTCGCTGTTGCCATGTCGATTGTCATGTGACATGTCAGAATCGTGTTTCTGACATGTCACATGACAATCGACATGGCAACAGCGAATCCTAGCGCGACTTGCCGTGCTTTGAATCAGCCACTGAAGACCTGTGAGCGCTTGCAGGTCTCCGATTTTCCAATCGGAGCACGCCCAGGCGTGCTCCGATTGAATCGGAGCACGCCTAGGCGTGCTCCGATTCAGCCATCAGAGGCCGCTTTTTTTTTTTTTTTTTTTGGCTGCAGTTCTGGATGGAGAGTCTCCAACTGCAACCAATGCTGCTACCCGTGCTCTTACAGCGCCAACAACGAGCGTTCAGCGATCACAGCAGCAGACTGAGTTCCACGATCCCGACATTGATGAGTACACCGCAACTTGTGACCCAACAGTGCAATCCCCAACTCACCAACGGTCTCTGATGCAGAAAGCTACGAAGACCATCAACTTTTCCGGAGCTCAGTTTGGTGCAAACTGCAATGTTCACCTGCACCTGTAGGCTGTAGGCTGTAGTCACTGCGAAGAAGAGAAGCTGAACTGACCTGGTTTTTAGCTGACTAGACCGCCCTTGTTTTATCTCTGTGTTGTGACTGTGTACATTAGTCATTATGTAACATGTCTGAAGTACTAAACTGGCGACTAGTTGTGTTCCTTGTCTGGTCTAGTGTGCGTGCCTTGAGTAGGTACTAGGTATGTGTGAAGTACTACATGTAGTAGTACTAGTAGTACGAAGTAGTTCGTGCAATGCATGTCAGAAATGGTATCAAAGCATTCGTACTCGGACTCAAGTGCTAGAATCGGAGCCCTCCGCGCTAGCGCGCGTCGGGCTCCGATTCCGCACTTTCGTCCTCGTACTCATGCTCGATTCCATACAGCCACCACCACGTGCTGAGCACGCGAAGCGTGCGAACAGTGTATGTAGGTGGTAGCAGACACGATCAGTACGAGTAGCAGTAGCAGCCGCGCGCAGAAGCACTGAGCACGCGAAGCTGCGTGCGAATCATGTAGCCACCTAGCCTAGGCCATAGGCATAGGTAGCAATAGGGCTTGAAAGTGCTACGTCACAGCATAGCAACAATTTCAAAAATTCAAAAACTGGATCCACTTGGATCCAGTTTTTGTATGGATCCAAGCACATTTCAAGCGGTCTTACCCACAGCATGGTGATGTAGCCAGTGAAACTGACTGATTTGGCTACTGGGGGCGGGGTTACAACTGGTGGCGAAATAAAAGTCACACCTGCATGCGACATGAGTGGGTTGCTATGCACCCACATACATAGGCAATAGCAAAGTCACACCTTAGTGGATCCAAAAGTAGAAATCTGATGTCAACTTACTACTCCCTGGCCGTTTTGACGTCATCACTTTCAAGCCCTATACTGAGTACTAACCGCACAAGCGCTGCGGACCACGTGAACCGTTCTCTGCAAATAGAAACATCTGCAACAAAAGGATACAAAAGATCTGCACTGACCAGTCCGTGCGCCAGATTCAAAAAAGTCGTCTAAAAGTTGACTTTTCATTTTCTGCACTGGGCAGTTTGCGGGTACTTTTTGAGTCGCATTCTCAATGGTGGACAATTTTGGAAAATGGTTTTGTGTCTATGGCTCGTTTGTTTTGGCATTTCGCTACCTGTGTGGTGAGCCTAAAAATTGCGCTTAGCCGTGGCAACGCAATGGTGTATTCCGTTTTTCAGCCAGATGACTTGTTTCGCTGTGGTCCGGCATCTTCCTAGATTCTCAGCCGTCGTCGAATTTGAGTATTTTCGAAACATTTTTTAGGGTGCAGGCGTGGGGCAAGGCTTTCACTCCCAGCCAATGGCACCATTTGGCATAACTCAGCCCTATGAACACGTCACCAGGCCCTCGTTAGTGTCCAGCCCATATTTCCGAAAAATGGACTGGACTTGAAACTTGAGTGTACAGACAGTACTATGCATTATGCACGTAATGACCGTTGCAATAACTTTCGCAAGCTACACGACAAGGACTCGCTGCAGAATAAGTCTGAATAACATAATGATATTCACACCATATGCCATTGTGGTGCACCGTGATACCAATGACAGTATATTTATCGGTGATCAATTGCTTACTGGGTCGCTCCGTTGCCGAGAACGTCAACTTTGCGGACTGTGGAATGACCCGCGACACCGCCAACCACCCCTGACACAAAGCCAAATGCTGAAAGAGCTGACTGATACGGTACCTAGCAAGTTAACTGGATAATGCTCATCTTCAACAAAACCAGGACATAAAACAGTGCTATGATAAACTACCTCCAGTCACCGGAAACAAATACAGTGCATTACGCATATGGATAGAGATTGCACTAGGACATGTATAATTGTATACCAATCTTAGAGAAACAAAACAAGTTATCGAGTCTATACCATCAGAGTTGGCAGCTATATGTATTGGATTCTCCTGGTGTGCAGAATGATGCTGGCGGCGTGGTTCATATCCACTGTTGGCTTGCTGTCGGCAGTACCTTCACTATATTATCACGTCTAAGGCATTTTATAGTCTGCATGACTTGGATCAGAACGCCATAGTTATCCACACGAGAATGGTAATAAATCCAGATCACTAAGGCCTTCTTCATTGCAGTTGGCGCAATGCGTTCACGGGATCGCGTCTCCGACCTCCAAATTGTAATTATAGCTGGCTAGTCTGTTGTTTATTGGCAGACAAGAATTGCGATGCTTCTTCAAAAGAGGCAGTTTAGCGATGTCTGTCCATGACATATTCCGCATTGCTGTGTGTGGAAGGAAAGGTGCAACAATATTAGATTGCTGCTGGCCATAGACATCAAACTGCAACATCTGGGCTTCAGCTGTCACAGGTCCATTGACAGAGAGACTGCCGCATATTGCACATACTGCAAACTATTGACTTCATGCCATCGCCTCATGGATCAGAAGTCACCACACTGAAAGAAGAACAGCAGAGGAAAACAGAACTGATGCAGTTAATCGATGCAGTTAATTGGCAGCAACAAATTTACTCCTTCATTTTCATTCGACGAATTTGAGTCGTGTAATGCAAGAAAAAAGTCAGAGAGCAGGATCTAGGAGAGGGCATGCACCAGTGCTGTTGTGCCTATAATAATTAGATGCTCAGAATTTCACCACAATAATGCACATAATACTGACATATTTACACTATGCAACCTAGTAGTCAACAAATTCAGAAAAAAATCTAGTACTTCAGCTGGTGAAATATCCCACCTCTATCCCCTAAGCTCAAATGTCCCTGTAAAATTGATAAAGGATTGGTAGATGCTCACTCGGAGTGGTGTTTGAAAAGTAACACAACAGGTCATGACGATTTAGAGCATGCTCAATTGTCTCTTCTCATAAAATCACAATATTGCCTGTGCGTGGTTTATTTCGGGTGCAATTGTGGGGCACAAAGGTATCACTCTAATTTCTCGTGCATTCGAAAGATAAAGCTTTGGTCTATCACCCCACAAAGCGGCTTTAGTGTCCGCGATGGGTAAATGCCTTACCTAGTGTGAAATTGGTGACCATATTCCTCGTTTCAGCAATTACAAAAATGAGACATTCGTCCTTGGTGGCTGCTCACGAACTGCAAGCTCCAAAATAATTTTCCAGGGTACGGCCATAGGTGTCTACATCACTCCGAGCCATCTCTCCAGTGTAGGAAAGGTCTCCTGACGAGACTAGAAGGGCTCTAAGCAGCAAATTTCATTCAAATATTCACCATTCGGAGATAGGCGAAATCAACAGAAAACAAGCCCGCAGGTGCGGCGCCTTGGAGGCTACGATTCCCGCGAGAAAATGAAAATCGGTCTCTCAAGGGCCTTGGCGCACGGACTGTGACTGCACTCTGCATCTGCAGTGAAGAGCGCATCGCACTTTTGTTCGTAAGTTTATGAATTTTTTGAGCCGCTTCATCCGCCACCAGGTGATGGACAACCCTGACCAGCCTCCCGAAGGCGTAACAGACGTCCCTCCTTCTCCTTCCAACGATGAAGAACCTCCCTAGCGATCCCTATAGTCCGTGAGCCAAAACTCAAAATCACAAGTGCCGTTGCACTCTCGGAGGGACAAGTCGCCGCTTACAGTGTTGGTCAAGGACATCACAAAGGATACGTTTTCGCTTGTTGGACGTTCCAGAACCGATCCAGAGGCTTGTGGCTCAATGTAGCTGAACCATCGGACCTTATTTGTCAGCTCGGATCACGTGACCCACCCCGCTGCCGCGTGCGGCAAACAGCAGCGAGAGAGCGCTAAGTCTGACCCGCGAGCGTTTCTTGCGACTAGTCGACTAGCGCGCGCTCGTGAGATGCACACAAGCGCGCTGGCCCAGAATGCTTTGTGGCTGTTAGTTTTAGCTTGGCGCGCTCCGACCTTTGTTGAGAGAGAATAGCAGTAGACGGCGCTGTAAATTTGAATAATTACTAGTCCATTTTTGAGAGAGAAAGGAAAGCATACCCTCCTGGACAAAAAATTATAATTGGTAGACTGCAGCGCTTCAGAGCTGGTACTGGATGACCTCAAGCATTTGGCGGATCTCGTACTCAAGCATTTGAGGCGATAATGGACGAGACTCCTGGGGAAAGGATGCAGAGAATGAAGCATTTGGCGGATCTCGTACTCAAGCATTTGAGGCGATAATGGACGAGACTCCTGGGGAAAGGATGCAGAGAATGAAGAGAAAACACTCGTATGTGGGAGCACTGAGAAGCAGGTAAGTTCTAGTGCAATTCCTAGCCAGTAATTAATTTCTCGCCATACGTTCTCTTTTTTGGTGTCTTCGTACAAGTAGGTCTCCTAATATTCCTAAATTCTCCTGCCAGACCGAGACTGCATAGAGTAATGCCAGTACACTTGCAGCAAGAGTACATCGCCAGAGTGTGTAGCTATAGTACATAATAATGATCTATGCTGCATAAAATGATTTCATAGCAATTTCGGTAAAGGTACAGTTAGGGTGCCAAATTATTTCGCACTTTCTCAGTGTTCTGCGTACTGTCACCGCGTGCTTCAAAACACAGTAGCTGTTGACATGGACTTTATTTTCATCAGAACCGATCAGACAAGGTACTGTTGACGCATGCTTTGGAGCAGTGAGCCGAAGGTGTTTTCCTCCTGCCGAACTCTTTGCCTCAACACGAACTCGCAGATGTAGTTAGGAAGCAACTTGCGGGACGTGCCGAAGTTGCGTTTTGAGCGCTTCGCGCGCATCCACATATTTTCGACATTGTTGGTATTGAGCACCGGGACGCCCAGCCATTACCACAAAAAGGCACAAAGTCAAAGGAAACAACGCTAACGACACAAAACTTCGAAACACACTCAGGCACGCTAGAAAGTACACAGAAAGCACGCATGACAGTACGCAGAACACTGAGAAAGTGCGAAATAATCTGGCACGCTAAACTGCACCTTAACCGCAATTTCCCTATGCCTAACCAACTTCAATAGCAATTTGAAAAAGTGTAGCCATTTTTCATAAACAAACAACTTGACAACATTGTTCTTCTGTAATGTGCCGCTGGCATCTCCATGTCTAATCGTCCCCATCAAAGCCACTTGCTGACTACTTACTAGTAAAATGGGTTTGGACGGTTGTCAGATTAGCTGACATGTTTCAGCCAACACAAACATAAGCAGTCGTCAACTCTTAAGGCCAAAAGAGCTTGGGAAGAAAATGAGAAACCTTGGCTATGAAAGCACATGAAGCGTTAGAAAAAAAACCCGCAACCTTGGACCTGGAATACCGGTGTCTCCTCCAGAGGCTGTTCAAGCGACCCTGTTGACGACTACAGTCAAACATCGTTAGGACGAACTTCAAGGGACTGAACAAGTTTGTTTGTCTTATCCGGAGTTCTTTTTATCCAAATCTGCCAAAAAATTGATATGCGTATCATATGGACTCGGATGGAGAGCAAAGGATACTTTTATAGAAAAGAAAAGGACCAAGGAACTGCAGTGCTATGATGTCCACTAACACCACCAGTTACTTGACAATGTACATCCGCCAACGTCCTTGACAGCTAAGATTTTCAGCTTGTGCTTGTCTTGGTTGCCACCACCTTCTTTTTGGGACATGCATGATGTAATAGACCAATCCCGAAAAGATAAGATTGTCTGGGTTCGAAAGGGGGCATGTTAACTGAGAGTACACTGTACAACACATACATGACACTACCTGATCAGCATGCGGCACAGGACGTGTTTGATAGTTTGCGTGTGAATGCGGGGGTAAGTACACTGTTTTCTCGTTAGTTGCATGCAAGAGAGACGAAGCGACAGAAGGCAAAGCCCTTTGTGGGTTTTCTCTCTCGCACTGGTAATGTTCTGCTATTGGAGTCGAAATGCTAAGCCATAATCCTTGTTTCGCTCTTCTGTGTAGTGTGAAGAGGTCAACGAACATGTAGAGCTCACTTTGATGAAGTAGGCAAGGCTGTGAGCGCTGTGGCTCAAAGCGGCGATAGGCCCTAGACCTTATGAGGTATTTAGAGTGGTATTGTTTGTTGCGAGCGCTTCGTCTTGGATGAGTCCTGCCTCTTTCCTACCAGGTTTCCTCCTATAGGACCAACCACGAAGTGACTGTACTCATCTGTAGCCGATCGATGTTCTACTGCACAAGAAGATTGCGTTTTCCAAAGACCATCGCCATGTCACACCGTCGGTACGAGTTCATGATGAGAATCATCATTCGCGCAAGTGTGATGAAGAACTATTTCGAAAACCTGTGACAACATAGTCTCTACCCCCGGGACGACAACTATGCGCAGGTTCTGGAAGGGGAGAATGTCTCCAGCGATAAGAACGAAGACGACGGCGGTATTTCGGCAATCTGGTGTCAGCGGAGGTTGGCAAGCTCCTCCGCCTTCGCGATCCAGTACATGTACAGTAGGTGACATGTCGACACGAGCATACGGAAACACAGCATACACTGTAGTATTGTTGCGAGAGTTTGCTGAAGAAGTCCATGTCGGAAAATCCATCAGCTCCGAAAGCTACCTGTAGGTGGGCGATGCGACTCCAGCTTCAGACTACAACAGTCAGGACTTGTAAATAGTTGAACTTTGTGAAGCAGCAGATCGAGAAGTAATTTGAAATCGTAGCTGTTTGCGGTATGGCGGCGCTATGTAGCTTGTATTTTTTTTACGGAGAGTCGATTGCCCCGCGAATGTTCCTCTCCTCGCCGAGAGCTAGCTGCCCTCCAAACTCCGTCAGGGTCTGCCTAAGGTACCGAAGGTTCTTTGACTAGCTGCTGGCAGGACTCCATCAAATCCTTTAGCTTCAGCCCGGCGAGCAAACGGTCTCTCTCTCTCCTCCGCCATCAGCTGACACATACAAAATAAATACAAAACGGTGCACTTCACACGAGCTGGCTTCCACGCGTGCCCCCTTTCACGTACCCAGACAATCTTTTTGGGGTTGGTCTATTGAAATGGAAATTTGGCCCTACTTTCGACTACTGGGTTGGAATCCTTTGAAGTAGGGGTGAAAGGATCCCTGAAAATTGGCTATCGATCACCTATAGTAACTGTTGTTAACCATTGAATTACCGGTTTGATATAGCCATATACTCCGGTGTTCAATTTCATTGACACAGTGCTACTTTGTTCTCATTTGCGAGAAAGAAAACAACAACAAAGGTCGTCAGAATAATGAGGCCACAGATACCAGATCACTTAGAATCACAGTTTTCCACTGTAGATATTAGGTAACAAACGGGTATCTGGCTTAATGGGGAAGTTAAGGCAAAAATTAAAATTTCACCAGTTGTAGTCTTCGGGGTGCTGAGTCGAATGGTCTTGGTCCGAGAAAGCTGAGACGCTCCGTTCCTACTTGAATCCCAATCGAACTCGCGCACTTCCACCGAAACTGGGTGACTGCGCCCTACTAGATGGGGATTTGTATGCAAAATGTCACTAAAAGCGCCATTTCGTTCTTATAAAAGCATGGATGACCGCGATTGGCCCATATGTTGTAGTCTTTTGGACGCTGAGTCGATTGGTTTTGGTCCGAAAAGGCTGCGATGCAGCGTTCCTCCTTTACTCCCAATCGAACATGGTTGAAGAAGCGGTCACGTGCTCCTGGGTGCCGAAATCACCTGGTCACCACGCCAGCAGGCGACAACTTTCACACCAAGGTTCAACTCGAGTGACAGGACTGCACCCAAAAAAGGTCAAACAGGCTACTAAGTTGTACCCTGCAGGCACGGTGACCAGGTGACTGGCGTACGCAGGAGCACGTGACCGCTTCTTCAACCATGTTCGATTGGGAATAAAGGAGGAACGCTGCATCGCAGCCTTTTCGAACCGAAACCAGTCGACTCAGCGTCCAAAAGACTACAACATATGGGCCAATCGCAGCCATCCGTGCTTTTATAAGAACGAAATGACGCTTTTAGTGACATTTTGCATACAAATCCCCATCTAGTAGGGCGCAGTCACCCAGTTTCGGTGGAAGTGCGCGAGTTCGATCGCGGCAGCTGGATGGATCACGTGATCCAAGCTGACGAATAAGGTCCGATGGTTCAGCTACATTGAGCCACAAGCAAAGGAGGAACGCTGCATCGCAGCCTTTTCGAACCAAAACCAGTCAACTCAGCGTCCAAAAGACTACAACATATGGGCCAATCGCAGTCATCCGTGCTTTTATAAGAACGAAATGACGCTTTTAGTGACATTTTGCATACAAATCCCCATCTAGTAGGGCGCAGTCACCCAGTTTCGGTGGAAGTGCGCGAGTTCGATTGGGATTCAAGTAGGAAGGGAGCGTCTCAGCTTCCTCGGACCACGACCATTCGACTCAGCACCCCGAAGACTACAACTGGTGAAATTTTAATTTTTGCCTTAACTTCCCCTTTAACGGGTGGGTTATCAGGTGCCCTTTATCCGCCATACCTTTTCCAAAAAACATTGCATTTGCTTGTGATCGCAAGGGGCCATCCAAGGTTACCAATAATATTTTGAATTATTTTCCAAACGAAAAGATTTTGTTTGGGGGTGGGTGGGTTTGATGGAGTTTCGTTTTGAAAATAATTATTGAATGCAGATGGGGAATGCCCAGTTACTTTTGGGTGTCGAAAATTAACAACAATATTTTATTGGAATTCGTTTTACCTGCAGAAAGGGTGGGAGGGTGCTGAAAAATACTAAAACCTTTCGTTTTGTAAAAACAACCGGTAACCCCGGACGGTCCCTAAGCGCAACGTGTCTTTTACAGGCATTCTGAAAGGAGAGAGATTTTCAGGCAACAGTTACTACAATAGCCTTCCGGACTTCGCGCCATGAGGATATGCGAAGTCATGCAAGTACACTACACCGCGACAAGCACAGCGTCCACACTCACTGCGCTACATGCAAACAGTCAAAATTGTCGTAGCTACAATGGATACAGTGATATGTACCAGGATTGAACAAGCAAAAACACACTCAAAACTGTGCACCGAACTGTACGACTGTACAAGCAAGCTTATAATACTGTACCCTGCAATCCTACACGACTATTGGGTACTCGTTTGCTAACGGATCAGCAGCTAAACAGACAGGTACCCGGGTTACCCGGATCACCCCTTTCACCCCTAGTAGATATGATACTGAGTTGTGAATGGATTGGCCTGCCTGGGTGCTAAAGGAATGCCCGCAGTCGAAGCTGGTGTGGTGGCCACTATTGGTCTGAAGACCATTGGACTGGCGGCGACTGTCACAGGTGCAGACCACTGCGGTACGTGCATTGGCAGTGGACACGACGCCACCGGTACAGCCTGCCGCTGCGGTGCCGGTGAAAACAGCGTGAACTGCTGCACTGGCATGGAGCCCGTCATGGCAGTGCCTGCCGGTATTGCGACAACCTGGCCCGGCGGAGCATGCGGCACAAACGCTGCAACAGTCACCTGGGCGCTACCGGTGGCCAGCGGCAGTGACTTGGCCGCTCTTGGTCACTGGCTGGCTCCAAATCATCCACGTTGTTCAACATGTACTCACTTGCTGAGTGGAAGAGAAGTTCTTGGGCCATCGTGCCATGGCCGGTCAGCTTATTTTCATACCAGAACTCACGTTCGAACGCACTCTTTTCCACCGGCTCTGGTGGCAGCACTTCATTGCACGCCAAATCAATGTCTTCAGATGATGTCGTGTCAACATCCAGCTTTGCCTGTAGACACCCACTTATTGGTCTTTTGTACAGACTTTCAACCCGGGCTGAACTCGACCCTGGTTGACAATTCTCATGTAAACGCAGCCTAAAGCCTGGTTCACACTAGGCCGATTTTCCGGCCGATGCTCCGGCACCGACTTCGACATGGAGTCTGCCGACTGTGTCGGATGAGTCGGACGTCCTGTTCACACACGGGGAACGACTCACTCGCATCGATTATCCATAAAAGCAAGAGTTCATGGTTGAGAGTTCAAGAGTTCGCCATTGTTGCTTCATCGGGGAGCAAACAAACTGAGGCTCGCCAAACATAGCTATAATTTAAAGACGGACGCTCGACACAGCCAGACACTTATCTCAATCTCACCTTCGCTTTCACGTTCCAAATTGCAGGAAAGCGTTTGAGCTCTTCTGCGAAGAGGCAGGTCTTTGTTGTAGACCACACTCCGGGCATGTTGTTGTTCGTGGTGGTGTTGGATACTCTTTGTCACGTCAAACCATTGTCTCTCTACTATAAAGTATAATTCAACTAGGCCTATGGCGCGTATGGTCCGAAGAGAAACAAGGCGATATACCGGTAGGACTTTACATTTCATCAAGAGTACAAAGTACAAGGGGTCATGAGCTCGACATCGACGCTCTTTGCTGTCATGGTGAAAAGCCTACCGTGATTGGTCCGAATCCCGCTCCATCACGTGCAAGCAGTAAAAATCGGCCGGCTTTTCGGCTAAATATCGACCAGTCGATACTTGGCCAAAAACTAGTGCGACAAGAAAATCGCCGCAGATTTGTCGGAACCCTGTACGACAACACCGTTCACACTACGCAATTTTCGCCCCGATCTTGAGGATTTTTCGTACGAGTCCATGTCGGCCGAAAAATCGGCCTAGTGTGAACCAGGCATAAGACACGACAATCCGGCAATGGTGGAGCTGTCGCAGTTCCATCCACTGGTGATGAAACGTGCGCGGTATCAGCTATTCCTGTGCATGATAGACCATGCCTGTAGCACTACGTCTGTGTTTACTTTTGCCGATGGAAGCCAACTTTAATACTCGCCCATATTTACATAAGATACTTTGTCATGCTCTCAACTGTTATCAGGTTAGCTCCGGCTCCATGCGTATTAGTGGGACGACAGTCGTGGCATCCAGAGGCGCGAATGAGGTGGTGATATGGTGAGCAGAGGCTGGCATGCCACCCCAATGGACATCTGAACAATACAAGTTGTGCAGCATCTGTACGGGACAGGGTATGAGCACAAGTGAGTTCTTATGCTCTGCTGATGTATATTGATTCTGTGACTATAGTCAATACAGATCCCATCATATTGTAACCCTTTGCCATTGTCACTCGGAAATTCGGCCCTGATAAGCAGTATGAAGGATGCATTTAGCTCCAGGTATCTGTTTTGGGGGAGGGCCACATACAGTAAGGTCGGCCCCCGAAGAACGCTTTGCCGAAGAACACTGACTTAGGCTGGAAAATGGCCCAGATTTTAAGAACAATTCAGGCTAGATTTACAGATTTAGCACATGTACCGTTTTCTACATGTTTTCCATGAGGTGTGATCGCATGGTGCTGTTCATGAATAAGAGCAAAACTAATGACATTGCAACAGGTTAGAGCAATGCTAGGCTGCACACTCTGAGCCCCTGCGTTTTTCGGCGTCCGCTCTTACTGTATGCATGTGTGGTGTGTTGCTGCCACTATGTTGTACCAGCAGCATCTTCAAGTGGTGGACTGATCTTGTAACGGTGTACAGTAAAACCTGTAATGGCGACCACTCGACCATGGCGATCACATTTCCTTGTCACGGACGCATTCACATTCAAAACAGCTCGTATAAGGCGAGCACCCGCTCAACGCGACCGACGATCACTCGCCCGCGACCGCTTTGCACAGTGCTAGCACATGTAAATGTACGCATTGCATGGTGCACCATGCATGCATGGTAGATCTACACAGGGTGCATGCACGACACTTGACAGGTCTGAGGACCCCAGGTACATGAGTCGTGCTAGAGTAGCATAGGTGTGTGCACTAGTGCACTGTGATACTGATCAAAATGATGTATCACATGTGGATATAGTCACGTGACCCACTGAACCTGGATAAGAAGACCACCTGGCCACGGCGACCACTTTTTCTCGTCCCTTGAGGGGTCGCCTTAGACAGGTTTCACTGTACCTATTTGCTATTGCCTGGCGCCGTGTTTTGTCAGTTGTGCCTGTTTGAAGTTGCCAGTCTAGCTTGTATTGATGTACCGTAAAAGCCCGTGTGAACGCCCACCCAGTATATCGCCCACTCCCCGTTTAGGTGCCCAGTGCCAACACTCTTGTCCTGTTTTCTAGCCCACCTCCGTGAAAACACCCATGGGCAAAAGGCTTTTGCCGAAAGCACAAGTCCAGTACACAATGCAGTGTATGTACGGTACTGTAGTAGAACTTCGTGCACTGTGCTAACCTGATTTGTACATGCAGTACAGTCAGACCTCGCATAACCGCACACATCCGTTTTCCACAAAAATATCCGGATAGGCGAGGGAACCGGATAATCGAACACACATACTGTATGTAAGCATGGCATATGCTGTACATTTGTAACCAACTATTTTCTTCCGGATGGCGAGGGATCCGGATAAACGAGGACCGGATAAGCGAGGTCTGACTGTAGTACAGTATGATTTCACTTAACCGAAGTAACGCCCAGGCCCGGATTAACGCCCATGTTCTGGACCTTCACTGACATTTCCGCCCAGGGCCCTATTACGGGCTTTTACGGTATTCCCGTTGAAATTACTAGGGCACCATCTTTGTAATGGCGTTCCCGTTTTTGCTGTTGCCAGGGCCGTGTTTGTATTGGTGTGTTCCTGTTGAAGTTGCCGGGGCACCATATTTGTAATTTATTTATTTCACTCAACTCGTGGTGCATGACCAATTGGCACGCAAAGTGCGAGAGAGGGGTGATAGCCAACCACGGCAAGAAAAGAAAAGAAAGGAATAAAGAACTCTTTACTTTGTGGAATCATGCCTTTTGGCTCAGGCATATGTGGGGTGCTGTATCATGTAGTGTACTGGTAGGGTGACTGGCGTACGTATCACTACGAAACTGTGCTCAATTGTAGCTTACCTCACTCTGTGTTGTTTTTTCTCAGGGTCAAGCCATCGCCAGCATGATCGGCACCCTGAACAACGAAGTGATTCATGGTAGGCTTTGAATCTTACTCTCTATGCACTCTATTGCTTATACTGTAAGCAGGAAATCTTCGGACAGAAATATTTTCGGACAAAGCTGAATTTCGACCTTTCGTACGGTTTTTATTTTCGCACAGTGTTACATGCTAAATGCACGTGTTCGCAAGCAGTACGCATGTATCTTATTGTAAAGTGTACATAATTTCACATGAACACATTTTATTTTTAGTACAGAATTTATTTTAGTCCAAAAGAGGCCATGTACGAAATTGTACGAAATAAATTCCATCCGAAATCAGCATGCCACTTTAGTATCGCCAGTTGTTCATTTGCTTACAATGTGTTCGTTCTACTAGTACGGGTGCTGGCCAAAGAAATCCAACCTAATGAATTAAAGTTGTGCCGCGTTAGAGCCCGGTGCTATTTTATTCATGAGGTTGGATTTCTCTGGCCAGCACTGTATATTAGTACACTACAATGTCTGTTAGAATCTGCGAAGTAAAATAAACAACAACAACAACTACAGAAGTGCAAAATTTGAGTCTTTACAGCCTGCCCATTAGAAACATTCTGAACTTCACTAGTTCAGTTCCAGTAAACATGCGTTCGGATTTGCATTTTGCTGCTTGGTTTTGATGTATGTGTAGTTAGTGCAAGGCAAGAGCTTAAAAAAATGTTCTTCCCGTTAGTATGCCAAGTGAATCAATACAGGTATGTTTTGTCCTATCGTCGTCATCATTGTTGTCTGTGCCACACAGGTATGGCGCGTTCTTCGCTTTTAAGCGAAAAGGAAGTTTGCATCACCCTTTTCCTCGTGGAGGAGTACTTGAAAGGTTCTGGTTTTCATGGCATGATTGTACGGGTGTGATGTACAAGCATGTACCATGCATACGACTGCTAGTCTTGCAAGAGTTTGCTGCTCAATGAAATCGTGCGAGTCAAGTTTGCACCTTGCAGCATTTCATGCTCATGTCGTATCCATGCTATTGACACGTTGCCTTTTAGGCCTCTACGTGACAAGTCTGCCTTATTTAGGTGTCTAATTATTTATCTATCTCCCGTAAACGGGTTCATAATCGTCTTTATTTTATGTCTTCACACAAGGCCTGGGGCCTTCCTTATTTGGTATACCCTGTTATTTCCTTAGCTGGCTCCCGCTCTTTGTGATACAGTTTATACACATTATTGCTAAGGTTTGGTACACTGCGGCATGCGGGTGTACTATGGTTCATTTTGTCCTATAGTTCGTACGGTGGATCAGCCTCCTGCCCGTAGTTAGATATTATCATGATTATGGCAATCGCCTTTCTCTCTCGCTCTCTCTTGCCTTCCGCCTTCAGACAGAAGCTTCGGCTTTCGTCTGTCAAAGTTGCCTTGTGCTCTCAATATTGGCTCTTGAACTAAGTAACAGTTAGCTCCTTTCAAGATGTGAGTAAACCTGATCGCTGGTGTGAGTGTATGTGTCTGTATATGCCTGAGTGTGTGTGTGAGAGTATGTCTAGGTATATGTGCGTGCGTGCGTAAGAGTAATTCTGTTGGTGGACTCTCTCCAAGTGGCCACCGCTGCACGGCCTTGTAATGTGAAGGTTTAGTAAGTAACTAGTTAGTTCATGTCGAACCGCAGCCTTGGGGTCTAACCCCGGGCCGACCGGATACGACACTCTCTCTCTCTCACACACACACACACACACACACACAATACTAAATTTCCCTGTTCGGTTGAGAGTCACAGGAACTCCAGCACCCTCAAGGATTGAGGCAGATAGCAAAAAGAATGCTATTTAATAGAATGCATAGTCCATTGAAAGCAGTATAATTCGCAAGTGGGTATCACCTCTTTAGCCAGTTATAAAAGAACCAAACCATCCATAATACAATCATAATTACAGCATGTAATAATGTTGCTCCTGGAAATTCAGGAAAGCTGCTACTGGGTAACTTTGAGTGCACGTTTTACAATCATTAGGGTGATAGCTATGTGAACAAAATTATTTTACTTATTTGAGTTCCACTTTGCGTTCCTTCTTTCACTGTATTGAATTTTGATATACCGGTATTGTTTGCTTGCCCGTGTAAGAGGCTGTTCCAGATGATGATGATGATGATTCACCTCTCTTGATACGTTTTGCGGTTATCACCGTTTTAAGCCCGTACAAGAGGCCGTTTTCATGATGATGGTGGTGGTGGTAGCGATGTGCAGGCCTTCTTGGCCGAAGACGGTGCGTGCTCCTGCATGTGCTGCTGAAGCACATGGGCACATATCCAGTGCCGCATGGCAGCGGAATCTCGTCTGATGTCGACCTATAACATGGAAACAAAGATATACACAATAGAGAGTTCACGCTTCACCTTTTTTCTTCTTCACTCAAACGTGAGAAAAACGTGTGATGAATAGCTTTTTTTCACCTGGAGTGAGAGCTAACGTGTGTTGAATCACTTTTTGCGCCATGAGTTGAGCTGTAAAATACGCGTCTAACCCTTCATCCTAGTTCAGGTCTCACACAATGGCTGGTATATTGTCAGAATTCTTGTCAGCATACAACCCAACTCTTTAGTAACAACATTTGAAAGTAATCCACCAGTATACTTACTGTTGAACCTCCTAATTTTTAGCTTTTCAAGTTGGGGGGGGGGGGGGGGGCTGTTCTATCACCTCTCTGCTGCTTAATTTATTGCTTCTGTTTCTTTGCTCCTGCCTCTACTTAACCTGAAGTGATGACTTGAAAGTATACCAGTGGAAACCTTCAAAATGTCCATGTTGAAGAACCGGTAAAAAAGGTGTGACAGTATACAAGTGTCAAGTCGGCGAAAGCGCGAGCTCAGGTGTGGGGAGCAAGAATAAACAGCCCATGAGCATTTTTTAGGCATGGCACTCAATCTGTGGACAGAACTGGTTTCGTCCTTTGTTTTCGATTCTTGATATATATTTTCAAGGAATCTCCAGAGGCAAATGGATGCCTATCAAAGGGAGTCTCCTGGGGAAAGGAAGTGAAGGTGGCTGTTATGAGAGAGGGAGGAAGGGACATGACAAGGTGAAAAAATAAGAATAGTACAACTTTGTGGACTCATCAGCGCAGCACATTCATTCAAAGGTCCAAGTAAAGTGCCCATATTAAAATGCTGTATCATCTAACACTATTTATCGCTTCACTACAAGGCAAATTTCACCTACACCGGAAAACAAAATCCCGCCAGAGCGCCTGTCTCTCCCATCCGCCCCTCCCGGACTGCGATTGATTGTACCATCGTATGACTCTGTGATGCTGTACTGTACTGCAGTCGAGTGCTCGACCTGGTTGGAAATGTACGCAACAATGCCCACCCTCTTGAACGGGGATCGCAGAAACCCTGAGTGCTGATGGGTCTGGTAGTTCTACATGTACCGTAAAGTACCGCCAGAGTGCCCCATCATCTCGTCCTTTCGTGGCCGCATTGTGGAGGTGGTCTGCTGTCTGTAGGTCATACGACACGAACCTTGTGCAAATATTGCCCAAAATCACAAAGCAAGTTTCACAGACGTGCCTACGTATACATGCATGTATGGTGCAAAGCCTGGATTATGAAAGGACCGCAATGCGTGCTCGTACGACTCCTGGCTCTTTACCTTTGGTTGGTGTACGAGATGCACCTAACAGTTTTCGTAGGGTGAGTACTTGTTCATGTACAGTAGTCGCGCGCTGAAGAACGTTGAGCCCAAGAACGAGAACGTCCAGCCTGAACAGCCTTAGCTGCCTAAAGCTAAGAACGGCGGTGTTGGTTTTCTGGCAGCTTATGGGGTACATATGATCCAGGACGGATTGTTTCTAAGAACGTGCGATAAGAACGCAGCCAGATTACTGACAAAATAGGAACATCCCAGGCTAACCCCATCAGTTCCCTTGGCAGTCCCCTCATCTCCCAAATCTTCACAACCCGAAATGATGCTACCCACACTACCTCACAAACCAGAGGCCAATATTCAGTAGTCTCTTTCTCCCCCCATTCATGTCCCGACCAGGCCTCTACAGTCTCTCATTGGGTATTTTGCCACTCCCTGGTAATAATAAACTGACGGCTTTCTAGATTTCATGAGTTATATCCGTTGGTTCTTTCATTGCTTTCTCTTTGTTGTGGCTGCAGAGCGGCGCCTGCGCAAAATGAATGGTCCGGCACCTAGGTCAGCATCAAAGTCTGCGTCTCGCGCTGCTGCACAATCCATGCTGTCATCGCTAGCAGCAACGCGCCAGGATCATATGCACCACTTCCTGTCAGCTGACTCAGCAAATCCGACGGCAGGAAGCAGTGGCGGAGGCGGTGGTGCTGTGCTGGCCTCGTTTCAACCTCAGTCGGACAATCTTGGCATCGAGGTTGCTGGGGAGCCCGATCGTAACCTGGGCTGCTGTGCATGCTGCTTTTCCGTCTACAAGATGGTGTTCCCATCCAAGGTGTCGGTCAGTTAAACGGAACGGCGACATCTCGTGGACTCTGACGAGTTGCAGCTACAATGCGAGCAAGGCAATGCGGAGGACAGTGACTCTTCTGGATGATGCCAATCAGCCACCAATAATATACTATGCTCTTAGCCTGCTGACAATACTCACCTCTGAGCAGCTAGAGTGGTGACGTGTTCGAGCGCGTGCCTACTTGGAAGCCTGGTTTACCTTTGGCATTGCTAGTTGAATGCAAGCTACATGTATGAGATCCTTGGCACGGCTCGATGTGTTTTTGCAGATGATATAGCAGTGGTACATTTCCCAACTGCTCGTCCACATACCAGCGCCGTTGGTCAAACTACACTGCTGATACTTGGAGGCCAAACCATTGAGTCCAACTCTAACGGCCCCCAGAAGTCGCTGGTGCGCCTGGCCAGTCTTGCCGCTGCCGCTGTGTTCCTCCAGTTATATCGTGATGGCAAGGGAGAGCCATCAACGGCAAAGGATGGAAGAACTTCAAAATAAAGGCAAACTTGTCAAAAGGGGATTTCGCTTCTGTACTGCACAGGTGGGTGACGCTGCATGATGTAATGCAGGCAGCACGAACAATGGACCATAACAAGAAAGATCACAGTTGCATACAACTTGCTTTTATCAGCCCCGTACAGTACAACCATACAGCAATGCCTACTAGTACAACTGCACTTTTGCATTAGACAAACTCACGTCCACAAGCTGCGTCCCGAATATGTGACACGCTGCAGACTAGGCGGCATGAAGATAAAAGGTAGACAGACAAACCAGGGACAAGATAAAATTCAGTTAGTATACGTGTCTGTCAGTGCAGGGCTATTCTACAGGTCATGAAAGTAGGGTAATGCACCAAAGAAAGTAGTCCCATGCGCTCACTTGCAGTCACACATGATCCAAGTTACATCACTCACAGAACCTCGATATCTTTGTAGATCACTTATTCCAAAAGTGCAGTTTCAATACAAACTGGTTTGAGGGAACATAATAATTATAAGAATCACCTTCGATGGCCGAGTTTGTTAGTTGAGGGAATGGAAAGGGGGAAAGTAATCATAACGATACACGTGCTCTCCCTTTCAGTGAGCTTACCAGGCAAACAAAGGCTCCGCAGTCGAACGCATTTATTTGTTGCGGCAAGTTGTCCACCTTCACCTGCTCCCAAACTTGCCCAGGCGGGCCAATGTGTTCGCTGGAGATAGACACAGAGGATTTGCAAAAGTCGGTATTTATAAAACCGATTTCTACAGTTATAAGAAGACAGAGGCAGTCGGCTTAGGTGGGTGGGTGTCTGTATGTGCGTCTGTCCGTGTGCAAGTTAGGGTGTTGTGTGTGTGTGTGTGTGTGTGTGTGTCCCATATGGTGCAGTGGTATCGATTTCCAATCGATAGGTTGTGGGTTCGATTCCCAACGATTATGGTCACACACGTCTTTCTTCTCTTTCTCAGACTCCTCCTGACTTTTCTTTCATTCTCCTGGGTGGTTACCAACAGCCAGTGCATGCCGGAGTATGTGGTGCGATGTGTGTGCGGGAAAAAAAATGAAAAAGACCAAAAAGTAGGGATTCACTGGCCAGAAAAAGCCACTTCATAGCTGTGTGGTGTAGACCAGGCTGAATGGTGGCGGTCCATTCTTCAGCCTTGCAATCTGTTGAATGATGCAATCCCAGCACAAGCTGCTATGGCTTCTGCTGTAGCATCGCTACCATCGCCTCCGGCGATGGGCGCCCAATGGTCCAATGGTGTGTGTGTGTTGCTGTGTTGGTGTGCATGTGTGTGTGTGTGTGTGTGCGTGTGCGTGTGTGTGACACAATTGCAATCGTGGACGGCGTCGTGGCGGAGCGGCTTCCTAGTGGTAGTGCTGACTTCTCTCGAACTCTCTCTTCTACTCTCCCCTGTCTCGGGGGCAGCGTGGCCAAGCATTTGGCAGCTGTACACTGGAATTTTAATAGCATAATTCTGTATTCCATTTCCTTGTTAAAGCTTGTAAGTTTGTTACCGGTATGTATTTTCACTGTGACAACAATGCATGGCATACAGAATTTGGTGGTACCACAATGCAGTACTGATGCATCCAGTGTAAAGTCGAGTGGCATTAGTTGTGCTGACCAGAGGTAGGAGCATGTACAGACACGGGCATCTTACATGGCTGTTGCAGCATGTATAGCCGGATTGCTGATTTTAGCCGAGTCGTAGTGGTAAATGACACGGGCCTTCGTGTCCATTACCTGTGGCCAAAGCAAACAATAGAAAAGTATAGTAGAACTTCAGCAATGCTACACAGCTATTAGGAGATTCTATTCACAATAAACAAACTTGACCTGATTGGTGGGGAAGCAGAGAACAGAGATGCAGCACTCAGATACAGCACGTTTTTCTCACTTAGTGGTTTGCACGCTGTTTTTGACTCATCACATTTTTTATTTTTCTTCGTGTCACTTCTACACATAATCGGAGTGCTGTATCTCTGAACTTCTTATCTTTATACCTGTAGCCTCCTAGTTTACTTCCATTATTCCCTGTAGTATTTATCACAATAGTATTCCTTTCTTCCTACCCTATTTCAGTGCATATAAAGCCATGGCGTTATGTGAAACATCGCTGTTAACATTCTACTCCCCATGCTAGAGTATAGAGTAGACACACACGCGTGCAGGACGCGACACACCAAAAGACAAGAGAGTGAGTTTGGAAGAATGGGAATGTCGGGCAGAGTAGCTGGCCTCAATTGAGTGCGCGTTAACGAATCGTGTGGTCGGCCTACCGAGGGCAGGAGCTGTATATGACCAAGTGGGTCGGCCTGCGCTGAGCAGGAGCGGTTTGTGACCCATGCGAGTTGGTGGGTCGGCCTGCGTTGAGCAGGAGCGGTTTATGACCCATGCGAGTTTAATAGTAGTGCGCGAGAGGCCAGTTACGGAGGAGTGCCCGCATCCATGTGTTTCAAAATATATGGAGTGGAGTGCAAGAGTAAGAAATGGGATGAGGAGGGTGGGTCAGAATTTGAAAGCTGACTGCAGGCAAGGAAACTGGAAAGACAGCAAGCTCTGTTGTGCGCGCAGGAAATCTGCGCATGCGCAGAGCGTGGGCATGTGATGTCTATGATACACAGCAGTATGTAGAGAGAGCAAGATTGTGCACACACGTAAGGAGGGTTATGCAACCCGTTATAAAGGCCAACAGTGAAGCAATGGTATGTGACTGTTAACAACGGTTAACTCCAACATTAACCGAACATTTAACATTCTACTCCCCATGCTAGAGTATAGAGTAGACACACACGCGTGCAGGACGCGACACACCAAAAGACAAGAGAGTGAGTTTGGAAGAATGGGAATGTCGGGCAGAGTAGCTGGCCTCAATTGAGTGCGCGTTAACGAATCGTGTGGTCGGCCTACCGAGGGCAGGAGCTGTATATGACCAAGTGGGTCGGCCTGCGCTGAGCAGGAGCGGTTTGTGACCCATGCGAGTTGGTGGGTCGGCCTGCGTTGAGCAGGAGCGGTTTATGACCCATGCGAGTTTAATAGTAGTGCGCGAGAGGCCAGTTACGGAGGAGTGCCCATGCCGACATTCCCATTAGGGCCAGAGGAGATAGCGGGTGATAACAGCCAATATAGATGGTAAGTATGTATTGCACAAGAGCGTTGTTCTAGAGGCATAAAGTCAGACTGATATTGTGGAGTAGGATCGACAGAGAACGCTATCTGCATCCTAAGTGAATGTCTTTGCACTTACTCGGTGATCGGCTGGACCATGGTGTCAGGCCGCTCCGCAGCTGTAGGAGCAAAGGTCCTGAAGGCATCCATCTTGTTCCGGGACAGGGCATCAGCGATGGTATTGGAAATTCCTGGCAGGTGCGATGCTCGGACCAGGAAATTGTGCTTCACACAGATTGAGTACAGGGTGCGGATGAGTGCCATGACTGCAGGGGACCGGCTCGTGCCCGTCTTCAGGCACTCCACGACAGCTTGGTTGTCGCACTGAAACTCCACACGCAGCCGCAGCCACTCGATCCCCCATGTGGCGCAGGCCGCGACAATGGCGAAGAGCTCCTTGTAGGTAATGCTTAGTTCCAGTTGCTGCGGAGACCAGTCACCTCTGAACCAGCGACCATTGAAGAAGGCTCCAAATCCAATGGTGCCACTTGCGTCGGTTTGCAACTGGAGGTCAGCGCTGGGCATCCACTTCTCTAGCAGGAAAAATGACTTTCCGTTCCATGTTGACAGAGTCTGGTGCCACCAGCTCAGGTCGCCCTTGGCTGAGGCTGAGAGGTGCAGCATTCGGTGAGATGACATCTCAGATGTGGCCTTGTCGAGGTCATACAGGCGGCGTAAGAATGTACGGCCGGCAGGAATTGCTCTGGAAGCGAACGAGAGGTGGCCCAGGAGGGAGGCGAGTTCGCGTTTGAGAACGCAACCCTGGTCGAGGGTGGTAGAGACTAAACGACGTAGGGCCAGAAGCTTGGACTGAGGCAGACGCACTTCCAAGCGATCGGTGTCCAGTTCCAAACCGAGGAAGGTGAGGACAGTGGAAGGGCCCTCAACTTTCTCTGTGGCGACAGGTATGTTCAAGAACTGGAACAAGTCCAAGATGATGGCCTTGTGCTTGGCCGCCAGGGAGGAGCTTGGTGGGCAGATGTCGAGGAAGTCATCGAGGTAGTGCATTACGTCGGGCAAGGAGCCGACATGGACAAGGACCCAGTTGATAGCCGTTGCCAGCTGGTTGAAGATGAATGGTGAGGAGCGGAGACCAAATGGAAGGACCTTCTCGTAATAGTACATGCCGTTCCAACGGATCCCGAGAAGATGCCAGTCCGAGGGGGCGACGGGACACAGGCGAAATGCATTACGGATATCTACCTTTGTCAAGAGGGAGCCCTTGCCGAGGCGCATAATGGCGGCAATTGCGGTGTCCACAGAGTCGTAATGCAGGCTGAACTGCCCGCGTGGTATAGCATCGTTGACACTGCTGCCATCGGGAGACGACAGGTCATGTATCACACGAAGTTTTCCATTGGACTTCGGCACAACACCCAGACCAGATGTCTGCATGCACAGAAAGGGTGGCTCCGGAAATGGACCTGCTGTTTGCCCAGCTTCACAACATTCGGTCAAATAGGAAGAAACATACTGCATATTACGGATAGCCGACAGGTGATTGGGAGAACTATGAACACCAGATATAGCAGCAGAATGGCCTATCGTGAAACCATGACACAACCCATGCAGCACAAAGTGAGAGAAGGAGTGATCAGAATGACGGTTAAGGAGCCCGGCTAATCGGCGTACATTGATGGGGGTCTCCACAGAATGTTTACGGAGCAGACGCTGAGGTGGCGGACTGTCCCCTGCCACATTTGACTTCTGGGTGCTTCCCGCGACATTGAAGGCACACATGGGCACGATAGCAGAATGAGTTGTTGCATTGGTCCTTGTTGAAGTTGCGGCAGATAGGCTTCCCAAGATGGGTTGGCGCGCTGGACTGCGGCGGACCTCCACTCCCAGCGCCGACGGATGGAGGCCCTGGTCTAAAGGGACACCGGGCCTGGGCCACTGGGTGCACCAGAGAACAGCGCGAACATGGCGGGCGACCACGGCTGGTGAATGACGACTGCCACAAATTAGAGTCGATGATAGCCCAGTCGTACGACAGTGGTTGGGAGGCTATGGCGCGCCGGAAACGCCTGTCATAACTTAGCCATGCGTCCACCTGATACGAGTTATTTGCATCCAGAATAGTGGCCTGATATGTCAGCAAATCATTCGCCCTATCTGGAGCCGCCGCGACAATTACTCTTGTGTAGACAGTAAACGCCTCGAGCCATGACGCTACATCGTGGACATGGCGGCGCTGGGCCTGAGTTGGCTTCTGTACAAGTTGGACAGAGCGGTTGGCCCCCACAGCTAGCTGGACCACATCGGGCTCCACACCCAGCTGGTCCGGGAGGAGGTCGTCGAAGTCAATAAACTCGCCGCGTTCAATTCGCCCGCGGAGTTTATCAGGAACAGAGAGCGACGGACGAGCAGCCGGCAGATGGCCCCGGAATGCATGAACGGAGCTGGAGTTGACAAGCGGCACGACGGCTGCAGCAGATTCCAACTGCTCTACTCGCTCCATCAGGGGCTGGAGGACCTGGCCGACGGCCTGAGAAACAGCCGAAGCAAGTACATCAGGGACCACACTCAAGGCGGCGGCAGAAGAAACTGACGGCGCAACGTCGGAGACAACAGAGGCCGTGGATAATGGAGTCCCGGTTGGTTGACGACGAACAGGAGTTGGCCTCGCACGCGCATTACTGCCTGCAGCCGAAGTTTGAGTTGCCGCCCCGGGATCAGGGACCACATCCAAGGCGGCGGCAGAAGAAACTGACGGCGCAACGTCGGAGACAACAGAATCCAAGTGGGGAGATATTGGAGTTCTGGGCGGTTGAAGACGAACAGGATTTCGCCGCACACGCACATTACGCCCTGTATCCGAAGGTTGAGCTGCCACTCTGGCCGATGGCGTCTTTTTTCTGGTCGAGAAACGAGCCATCGTGAGAATATAATACTCAAATAATCTCTGGCCGCTGAAGACACGTAGTCTGACGGGACTGAGCTGAGAGAGAACAAGGAAAGCGAATACTAAAGGCGGCAGCCAATCGGCAGAACTAGGACTGACACTCTGAAGCAGGACGGAGGCAAACTCAAATCAGAATTTGAAACTCAGAATTTGAAAGCTGACTGCAGGCAAGGAAACTGGAAAGACAGCAAGCTCTGTTGTGCGCGCAGGAAATCTGCGCATGCGCAGAGCGTGGGCATGTGATGTCTATGATACACAGCAGTATGTAGAGAGAGCAAGATTGTGCACACACGTAAGGAGGGTTATGCAACCCGTTATAAAGGCCAACAGTGAAGCAATGGTATGTGACTGTTAACAACGGTTAACTCCAACATTAACCGAACATTTTTGGACTAAACGTAGAAAATAGCCTCGGTTTTAACGCCATGGCGCTAAAAGTGAGAGACGCGTACATGCAAAAAAATCGGCAGATTATGAACTTCGAGTACTCGTATGGTGCCGTTGCACTTTCATGTCGAGCATCCATGTACTTTCAATTTTCCCTGAAAATTCGTGCAATAGTAGATACATATTATGCAGTCTCATGGGAGCTAAAGCCCTGGCTAACCTTACATGGTTGTACCTATGTGTAATAACGATATACCCTTGAAACAAGAGTGAGCCGCAACTGGGATGTGCCACGTATACTGCAGAAGCCCGCATAGTGGTTAGGTGCCATCTTACTTACCATTAGTGCCCAGTGGGCAGTGAAGTGTAATGGCATGATGATAACGTTGAACTCAGCCCGATCCTAAAGAGATAAAGGAGATGATAAAGAAGCAGAACCCGTTCCCTACATTACTAACACAATAGTAATTGGGTACTCGATACCATTTTGGAAATGAAAAAGCACACCTTTTATTTTACATGGAAAGTGCTATCAGTCGCAGAGTTACGACTAACTCTGCTGGTACTGGTTCTGCTGGAAGTTTACCTGAAATATTCTCCACTCATCGATGATACGAGTTGCTTTCCCGTCATCCGTGAATGCAAAGGTTGGCATGGCCAACACAGTGCGAGGGCCCATCTACAAGGTTGCAGCAGCGAAACACGCCAGATATGGTGCAGCATGTACTTAGAAATAAGGGCAATCCTATGCTCTGAACTGAACCGCAGAACTGAAATAAATAAATAAATGAAATGAACTTTACTTGCCGCAGAACAATGGGTAGCTGTCATGACACGTTCTCAGAATTATAATATATTTAGAAGTAAGCTCTATACTTCAAGCTGCACAATCTGGGAAGCTACATGTATGTCCTCTTGGTAACATAAATGTAAGTGATGGGGGGGGGGGGGGGCGGGCTTCCATGGACTGCTTTGGTTGGTCTCATCCACTCACTTCACCCTAAAAAAATATCTTACATCATGATCTGTTACCAGGGCATACCTAGGAAGGTCAGCCGGCTAATGCTCACACATTCCAGGTTTCTAAAGCTACTTCTTTAAAGTAGTAGAAATATCTCTGTGTCACACAGCCATGCATGTGTGACTTTTCAAAAAGTAAAATGGATACAATTTAATACTTGTGATTGCACAGTCTCAATTTTGTGATTATGCATTTAGGATTCTGAGCATACCAGATCGTTGGCAGAGTTCATCAAGCATTCAACAAATGCGTTGATGATCTCGTCATCAAGCCAAACACCACTCTTCAGGGTAGCCATAGCCTGTCCTGTCACAGCACCCCTCTTCAGGCGGCAAACGGCAGCATTGGAAGGCATGGACAAAGCCTTCTCAACCTGAAGGAGGCAAAGGGACAATGTAAAAAAGTGTTAATACTTTGAAATATCTGTGCAGATAGTGAGAAGTAATTTATTCAGTACTGTTATTCTGTTGGAGAGATCTGGCTGACCATCCGTGATCTGGGGTCACAGGCCATCGGCTAACTGAATTTTACATTGGGAATTCGTCTCTGTCCATCGAAGTACGCCTGTTCATGGATTCTGGGGCAGTGTTGCTGAAGGAGAATCACAGATGGGAGGTGCTCCCCCTGTTTTAACCACCCTGGCCAAGAAAGTCACCGCCCTGCAGAAGAGACGAGAACTACTAAACCCAGATCCTCAGTGACCAGCCGCAGCGACGGCATTAGTGAATTAGTGAAAGCTACCAGATCACCCATGATGGCTGCTTCAAGCACCCGTGCATGGAAGGCTGATGAGGCCGCTCCAGGTCCCTTGTGAGCACGAAATGCACCACAACTAAAGCCATCTCTTCCAGGGTCAGCAGCTTTAATGAGCGTTAGCATGCTAACGCGAGTTAGCAGCCAGCCCAGCGAGCTGGCCCAACCTGCACGCATGCGCGAGTCACGTGGGCACGCGCCCTTCAATATCCTGTACAATGTCTCTTTCATGTCATTGCTGTTTGGACTTTCGAGCGTGCAACTTGCGGAACAGGTGTTCCCGAAACAATTTCCTTTCATTGCTGTTTGGACTTTCGAGCGTGCAACTAACTTGCGGAACAGGTGTTCCCGAAACAATTTCCTTTCGTTAGACTTTCAAGCTTGCATTCTCGTATCTCTGCGTTTCAATTCAGACTTCATTGACGCCTGTTGGTGCCTGAAACAATGTCGTCGTCTACAGTGGAACGTCGACTGTGGTTTTTTAGCTTGCGCCATCATCAGGTTTCCTGAAATGAAGTACCTCCACGCGATCTCAGCGACCCTTGTTTGTGCCTTGAAACAATGTCGTCGTCACCAACCGGCGTCCAGCCTCTCCGGATCGCCTCGCTCTACCTGGCTCCGCCGCCCGCCTACTGCGAACGCAGCGACGGCCGCCACGCAGCACCACCACTGCAACAGCAGGCGCGAGCCTGACGATCGTAATTCGTATCCAGAGAGGCGAGTTCGTGGACTTTGATTTTCTGTTGGAAGTAACAACGGGAGTTGTCCACTGCCGTCACCAACGCCACCCAGCTTCTCCTCGCTCTACTTGGATCCGTATCGCCGCTCGCCGCCAGCAGGCCGGACCCTACTGGGAGCCCGGTGCAGTGACGACCGCCATATGCGCATGCAGCACCAACAGCAGGTGAACCTGACTGTCCTATACGGGCCCTTCTCGATCGCGTCCAGAGAGGCGAGTTCGTGGACTTCGATTTCCTGCTGCCCGATACAGTTGCAGTCAGTCCAGCTCCGGCGACGTTCCAACTCCGTAGCCCCTCATATGTTGCTCTTCTGGCGCACTAGCATTTATTTGAATCCGAACCCAGAACTGCGCTTCGTAGGCTGCATGACGGTAGCACTTGAGTTGAGACCTGGACAGTGTTCATGAATGGTCTGTGTTCCACTGTTCCTCACCGCGTTTCACGAGTGCCTGTGGACGTATTTGGCCACGATCGTCGCGGCCAATCGCCAGCTTTTGCCACCTAGAAACTGGACGTTATCAATACTCAATCTGCGGACAACTGTTTCGTCCTTTGTGGACTCATCAGCGCAGCACAGAGGGAATTAAGCCGAACCTGATAGCAATGGAAAATAAAATAAATCTCCAAAGCCAGGTTATCAATATCAACTTGTGGCAACTGCGCCTCGCGGTGTACTGGAACAGCACGACCCGCCTGCCAGCAGTGCAGCTCAGTGCACTCGCCAGCATTTCCGTGCGCATTTCGTCCTACTCACCAGTACAGATCCGCATCACGTACCGCAACCGTATGCCGCTACTACGAGTACGGCGCTTGCACGCGTCAGCTCAGGCAGTGCTACCTCCAGTGCCGACAGGAGCATCCCAGGGCAAAGTGTAAGGCCTCATCAGTAACTGTGTAAGCACTCAGTTTCTCACTTCTCAAAAAATTACTGGACTCACATCCTGATCCTATGCTCCGGAGGTATGTTGCACATGGTCGTAATTGTGGGGTTGTGGTAGGTTTCATCGGCAACCACTCAACTAACTGGGATCCATTGAATTTAACACGGTCACATGCTAACCCAGATTCTATTTCTGCGCAACGATCCGTTTCTTGCAGCAGGCTTGAAACAGCTGGCCGATCCGTTTCTTGCAGCAGGCTTGAAACAGCTGGCCCGTGTTCTTCACCCCCTTTCTCGCCTCTGTGCTGTTCCGGCGTAGATGCGGTTCCTAGACGAACGGGAAGTTACACACGACACACCCTTTGTAAAGCCTGGAGGGTCGAAGTGTCAACGATTACATTCCAGCAGACCGTGTCTCTCCACAATGTCAAGATGACAATGCTGCAAACATGATTAGACAATTGCTCGCCCCGCTGTATCTTGCTAAGCTCAATGTTAAAAGTGCATTCTGCCGAATTCCCGTCTGCCCGGAGGAGTGGCCCTTGTTGAACCGCTGGCAGGATCAATACTGTTATGAGAGCGTCCTGCCCTTCAGACTGTACTACGCTCCAGGCCAGCTATATGGAACTCTGTCGCATCCGCCAGTGAATGGATTGTGTGCGGGCAGTTCGCACTCCCACGCCTGTTGCATTACGGGGAATACCTCAATTAATGTTACTTCCTCAATGCATGCTCTGGACTTGTGTTACCTCGCCAGCAACTCGCTATTCTGCTCCGAGCTTTTACATACCTCGGTGTTTCTCTGGCCCCAGCAAAAGTGGAGGGTCCAGCTCAATTCCTGACGTTATTGGCATCTTCCCATTACGGGAAATACCTCGACTAACGTTTCTGTCTCCATGCATGCTCTGGACTTGTGTTAGCTCGCCAGCAACTCGCTACTCGGCGCCGTGCGTTTACATACCTCGGTGTTTCTCTGGCGTCAGCAAAAGTGCTTCCTCGATGTATGCTCTGGACCTGTGTTAGCTCGCCAGCAACTCGCTACTCGGCACCGTGCGTTTACATACCTCGGTATTTCTCTGGCGTCAGCAAAAGTGGAGGGTCCAGCCCACGTCCTGACGTTTATCGGCGTCATCCTGGACACCCGCGCGCTCACATCAGTCTGCCGATGGACGAACTTGCCAAGCTTCACGACCTCCTACGGGCCACTCTCAACACAGCTTCAACTACCCAATGTCAACTCGAGTATCTTTTGGGAAAGCTCTCGTTTGCTACAAGAGTGATAGTCCCAGGACGCACATTGCAGATTGTGGTCACTTGCCAACTGGTACCGGCAGCCGTATTACCTGATCAAGCTCTCCGAAGAGTGCCTCAAATACCTTCGCTGATGGCCTTAGCTCCTGGAATAGTAGAACGGCCGGTCCTTCTTCCTACACCCTAAGTGGACGCCGTCCCCCAACTTGCTGCTATTCACTGATGCAAGTGGTGCACTTGGCTGGTGCGCAAACAATTGCAACCGGGGATAGGGCAATGGACAGTCAATCAAGCTATTCACTGATGCAAGTGGTGCACTTGGCTGGTGCGCAAACAATTGCAACCGGGGATAGGGCAATGGACAGTCAATCAAGCAGACCAGCCAATCGCAAAGAGTGGTTTGCAATTGTGGCAGCACCTGGAAAAGCTAGCGGCACCAGCAGCAGATGCCAATCGATCGGCTTTGCAGCAACTGCGAAAATCTTGCTCATCAGTTGTGGCTATGGCCTGGCGTCATACACCGGCCACTCGTTTCGAATCAGCTGCCGGACTCGATATTCAGAGAGGCGGGAAGGTGGAAAGCCATGTCTGCCCGAGTAACATTCAGAGGCCACCAGCAGCCAAAGCATGGGTGGCTGTGGCAATGGCCTCAGCCCATGATATCGAGTTCCTGTTAGTCAATCGTTACCGAGCTTGCACTGCTTACAAATATCACAGGTAGCTGCACTTTGTGATCCGCTCTGGGAGTGCCGATTTATGGAATATATGCTCTCAACTGGTTATGCACCTCTATATATCTAGCATTTGGCGGCTCTATTCAGAGTCATTGGCGGCTCCATGCGGAGGCATTGGCGGCTCCATGCGGAGTCATTCGGCGGCTCCATGCGGAGTAATTGGCAGCTCCATGCGGAGTAATTCGGCGGCTCCATGCGGAGTCATTCGCTGGCTCCATGCGGAGTCAATTGCCGGCTCCATGCGGAGTCATTCGCCGGCTCCATGCGGAGTCATTCGCCGGCTCCATGCGGAGTCATTTGCCGGCTCCATGCGGAGTCATTCGCCTGCTCCATGCGGAGTCATTTGCCGGCTCCATGCGGAGTCATTTGCCGGCTCCATGCGGAGTCATTTGCCGGCTCCATGCGGAGTCATTCGCCTGCTCCAAGCGGAGTCATTTGCTGGCTCAGCTGCGAGCCATTATACCAGTTGCTCGAATCGGCACTCCCAGCTTAATGCAAAACTCGGTTGCTCTGTTGTGAGGTGGGGGGATGCTAAATGAGCGTTAGCATGCTAACGCGAGTTAGCAGCCAGCCCAGCGAGCTGGCCCAACCTGCACGCATGCGCGAGTCACGTGGGCACGCGCCCTTCAATATCCTGTACAATGTCTCTTTCATGTCATTGCTGTTTGGACTTTCGAGCCTGCAACTTGCGGAACAGGTGTTCCCGAAACAATTTCCTTCCCACCCTCCCACCCACTAGCTCAACTCATGTTTCTGGCGCACACATGACGGTATCTGTATAGTCCATGAGAATATATGCTCTCAACTGGTTATGCATCTCTATATATCTAGCATTTGGCGGCTCTATTCAGAGTCATTGGCGGCTCCATGCGGAGGCATTGGCGGCTCCATGCGGAGTCATTCGGCGGCTCCATGCGGAGTAATTGGCAGCTCCATGCGGAGTAATTCGGCGGCTCCATGCGGAGTCATTCGCTGGCTCCATGCGGAGTCAATTGCCGGCTCCATGCGGAGTCAT